CGATTATTAGGTTTATAATAGAAACAATTAATTTCAGCTCAATAAACCTATTTATTTTTGAGAGGAAAATAAAAACTTTTGATATTGATCTAATCAAACTCTAATATTTTAATGAGACAACATTTAAAATACCACAAAACCATTTAATTCTAATTCAAAAGTTTATAAAATTAATGTTTCAAAAACCTTAATGGTTATAAAAACATTTTTATGATACTATTGGTATACTATTATACAAAACTATTAATACAAAACAAACTTAACTTTCTTTCTTTCTCTTTAGATATAGCATTTTACAATATCAATAATAATATATACCAAATTACCAAATGATTCATATTTATTTATTTATCATTTATTTGTCATTAAAAAAAAGAATACAATGCCGTGTTATATAAATAAAATCTAAATGACCGGGGCTAAAAGAATAGACAATATTTGTCTTATCACTACACTTCGATATCAAGTGTTCATATTTAAAATAAGTTTTTCTGATAATATCAGAAAACCTGAGTTACCAGAAAAGCCATAAAAAAATATTCTTACATTAAAACAAAAATTTAGAAAAAATTACTGATAATGTAACATATTAGTACATTGAATTTAATAAACACAAAGGTTTACTTAAATATAGCATTTCTATGTTTTTGAAAAAAAAGATTATTTCACAAAATAACACTTTTTTTTTCAGAATGGGTTCTTTATAAACTTTATTAATAAAAAAAAATTATCTTTCCTAATACTTTTTGATTATTTATGTTTTTATTCTTTGACAAATATTTGAAAAGAGAATCAAGTCACTATTTTAATATCTTATGCAAAATCTCAAAACCAAATTCCTCAATACAATTTCACATTTAAAAGTACATTTTGTTAAAAGGCAATTTTGCAAAGTAAAGAAAGATACAAAAACGTCTATAAAACGTTTGTAACGGGATATTGTAATCAAATTTTAAAACAAAATTTCACTGTCACACTTATGGTGATAATATGTGGTGTTGTCCCATATAAAACGGACGTTCCGATGAGCTTCTAAAATTTGTTTAATAAATGAGTTGGTAAACTCTCGTGATCCTCTATAGTATTACACACACGCACGCGCTCACACACATACATGGTTTTCAAATTAGACTTAAGTTCAAGTTTGCTCTTTGCGTTTGCTAAAGTGGAAATTCAGACTTGAAGTATGACTTCAAATTCTAAGTTGGCTTCTTGCATACCACCCTAGGGTTTTAATGTGCTTAGTAATAGATTAAGTGTAGGCGTTAAAAAGACAGCTTTCATATAGAAAAAATATTTTTTATGGAAACTTGAATTTTCTTTAAAATTAATAAGGCAAGAGTCCTAATAAACTGCAGATGGCCTGGAAAAAATTATTAGAAACTTAATAAAGAAAAAAATAATAAGGTCCGGCCCAATTTTTTTTTTTTTTTATAAAAGTTTGTAAATAAAAGTTAACTTAAAACAAAGATCTTTATATTTTGCTCTGTTTTTAAAATTATTGAAATAAGCTGAAATTATTAAAATGGTAGAATAGACTTACCATAGAATAGACTTACCATAACCAATGATCACTATATAATAATAAGGAACTTAATAGTAGTAGTGCCCTTTCGAGCACGTTTGACACAAAACCCAACGCAGCCATTGCAACCGAGGTACTGGCGAGTAAGAGTCGCAGCCCTTTTTTATAAGAAAACATTAACGAAAGTGTGTGCTAACTTATGTAAACTTTTATTTATTATAATTTTAAATTTATTATTTGTCATGTTATTTTAAGTCGTATTAGCGCAAAAAAATTGGGTATATAACATGTAAATATTTAGAACTATAAAGTTGTTTTGTTTTGCATTTTAAATAACAATAATTTTATTAAAAAAAGCAAGCTGATGATTTGAACTTGCCACGCGGCAAGTTCAAATCATCAGCTTGAATTTTTTTAAAACAGTGAGGGGGTTTTAAAAAAAAACATTCTTATTTAAAAAAACTTTAAAAATCTTAAATTTATTTTTAAAATAAATTATTTTATTGAACTTAATATTTTTCAAAATAATAAAACGCTAAAACTATTTAATTTAAAATAATAAAAATATTTAGAATTTTACAGTTACTTATTTACGCCCCCGTTAAATATTCTAAACCGAGTGCGCAACTATGACAGAATTTAGAAAACCAATAAAATTGTAAGATACTCTGTTTAATATTGGAAGAGTCTACTCGGATGCTATAAACTAATGGACTCTATTATGTTTCTTTTTGTAATGTTTTTCTAACGGTTAACAAATAAAAGCAAAGATACATCAACTGAGGGTTTAGGTTTGGGCAGGCATTCTTTTAAATTAAAGAAAAGAGTTTTGATACTTATTTAAATAGGGTTAATAAAATATTTTAAATTACATATATATTATATTTAAAAAATTATAAAACTAAATTACATATGATTTTTAGATGAAACAGTAAAAATAATTGTTTAAAACACGTGCGTGCAAATAATTCCTACCAATACTAAACGTAAAAAAACGCTTACAAACACCAAAAGTATATTTACCGTGAATAAAATTAAGTTCAAAGAAAAATTGGAAGAAATGTTTAAAACTGTTTCAATAATAACATTTATTTTTAATTATTTTTGTTGTAAGTTGGGATGAAAAAAAAGGTCACTGGAATATGAACTCCAGGGGTGAGATGACTATATCTGTCTAAGTGTTGCGCGGCTACCAATTAGCCCATAAACGTATTCTCTATTTAGAATTTGAGATAATTTATGACGCATAAGAAGTGTAATTAAAAATTCAAAACCAAGTTTGGAACAACTGAATTTAAAAAAAATCTAATTAGATGTGTATATGTTACCCAGTAAGCACAAAGACGTTTAAAAGACGTTTTAAAGATGTCTTTAAGGAGGTCTAAAAGGCGCACTTGTAGACGTCTAGATCATAAGGCTAAAAGACGTCTAAATAAAGACGTCTTTATAAAAACGCGTTTTAGACGTATGTTAGACGTTTTATTCAAGATAAATTTAAGAACATGACGTAACATTTTCGCGTAGTATGTGGTATATTTACATTGTATTTATAACATCATATATTGTTATAATTTCGTATATACAAAATATACATAGGAACCAGCAATCAAAATATTATTGCTGTAATCACCACCAACGGCTGATGCATCAAAGATGAAAATAGTAAATAACAGTAACAAATTTAAAACAAAACAGTAACAAATATAAATCAAAACAGTATTTAATTCAATTATAACTTACCTTTAGTTATGATAAAATTTAACACACGTAGTGCTGGCTAATTTTTGACCGGATACTTAACTTATTATATGGCTTGTGGGTGTATAAAAACTAAAAGTACTGATATTTAACTTATATATTATTCTTGCCATTTTCACTTATTATCATGATCAGTCAACTATCTATTAAAAAAGCAAAATAATTATTAATAAAAAAAAGATATATTATTATTATAGCAATTATTTTAGTGATTCCTGTGACAACAATTTTAGCAATTGTGTAAAAAAGTAATTTAATTTAAAGTAATTTACACTTAAAACTTGAACAAATTATTGAAAATAATAAAAACTATGTTTTTACTTTGAATATACGACATCTACTTAACGCGTAATGACAAAGCCGTCAAAAAGAAGTCATAATGACATATTTATAAACAGGTCTCAGAAAAGACGTCTTTTAGCTTTGATCTAGACGTCTTTTAATGCGTATTTTAGACTATTTATTACGCGTCTTTTAAGCGTATTTTTAAACTTTAAAAAGACGCATTTTAAACGTCATGTTAAAATTGCATTTATTAAAGACGTCTAGAAGATATCTTAAAAAAAAGATATCTTCTAGACGTTTTTTTAACGCTTAAATAGACGCCTTTTAAACGTCATTTTAAAAACGCATTCATAAAAGACGTCTAAAAGATGTTTTTAAAACGTCTATAAAAGTGCGTCTTTACCTAGACTAGTTTTAGACGTCTATAAGTGTCTAAAATGCGTCTTGTGCTTACTGGGATATGAACGTTAACTAAGGCGTAGTTTAACGGCATCAAGTGCTGAATGTTTTAGCATTTTTCAAAGTTCGTAGTCTTTTTTCCTTTTTTCAAAGTTCGTAGTCTTTAGAGCTATAGAAATGATCAGATAAGTATAAAAATGGTCGGTTCGGTAAAGACCCGTATTTTACGGGTCCGCCCAGCTAGTATAATAATATTCAGTAATAGTTATAAAGTAAGTCCGTCAATCCACATATTTAAGTCATCTCATGTTACTTGAAACTTTTTATACCAATAGTAATTAACACATTTCAAGCGAGTATTCTAAATATTGTTTAGACTGTTACTGATGTTCAATTCGTTGATAAATAGCGATTCGCGTAACGTCTACCAAAACTTTTAAAGTTTTTTAAAGTTGATTACAATAGAAAACTGATTTTATTACTTAAGAAAGTAAACAATAAGTACACTTTTTATACATATATATAATTATTTATCTACCGCCTGTTAAAACATATTGATATAAGGAATAAGTATAAAAAATGTCGGTGTGGAATAAATTCACCAAGACCCGTATATTACTTGTCATGACAGCCAATATACAATGATCAGTTTGCTGCTGCTGTTACTCATTCGTAAAGGTTTAGCAACCTCGGCCTTATTTTATATTCCTTTATATTTTTGATTACACAATATGGTATTTTTAAATCTTTATTATAATATGTTAAAATCGGCTTAATTAGTTATCTAAAACCAATCTATTTGACAGTAATTAAGTGAGTAAAATTCTGTAGTGATAGATAAACCTTATGTTATCTTTAAATTAGTAAAGTAACTTTTATTGTCAGTTGTTTATCTAGTTCATGCATTTCAATAATAAGACAATTCTTATTATTAAAATCCAAGAATTTTGTTTAAATAATAAGAACTATCTTATTATTGAAAGTTATTTGTCAATGGTTTTTAAAGTATATTTTTCTGTGTTTTTTTGTTTTTAAGAACTCGATAATAATGTTCTTTTAAATGTTGATCCTTTGATCATTGTTAATCTTTTGATAAAGTTGGTAATTATCTCAAAAACTGTTTGTCACTCGGTCAACTCTATGCTGCATAATCAGGAACAAGATCTTTTATTTTTTTAATTGATGAGCATTTCTTAGAAGGTTTGTCATTTAATAAATGCTACACAAACAACGTCGTTTTTGAAAATGTACTTATTTATAAGGAACTATTGTTTTAATATTAAGCACCACGTATTTTATAAATAGTTCATCAAAAACAAAACTAAAACAGTACAAGTTTTGGTAATAAATCTCGTTCTTTAATTTGATAATGACTTTTTATACTATTTCATAAAGAAACATGCATTGTGCCAATAATGTTGTTATATAACAGCATAATAAGTTTTTATCACAAACGTATGTTTTAATACTTATAATAAATATGTGTTTTATATGTCAATACTTGTGTATTTTAGTTTTGGCTTTTTTTGACAATTTGGTTAAAACGAAAGATATACCTGATGTCGAAACAATTTGCTAAAAGTATAAATTAGAAAGCCAAAAATAATGTTTAACTTAGTTCTAAAGTTAATGCACAGGCAAATGCGTTTTTACATGTATTCTATTACAAGTTTAAACTAAGAGTAAAAATTACAATATTTAACTTTGTGTCTTTTTATTCGTATCAAAAAAAAACAAAAATACCTACTATTTCCATGTCGTCATGATAAATATTACTTATTATATAAAATATCATTTATTTTTGCTCTAGTCTCATTTTAATTGAATAAACGGTGTGAACAGGTTATTAGCAAAATTTTTTTTTAAATAATTTATTAGAATATTATATTTGTGATGTACTTACAATACTGCTACGAATAAAGTTCTATATGGGTAGATTAAAAATATATACATTTTTGTATATAATATTTAAATCAATTTTTTTTTAAATATTTAGAAATTATGGTTACTATAAAATTTCTTTTGTCATATTTACAGAGCCGATTCAAAGATTTTTTTGGTATATGCAAGATAAAGATTTGGCGCTTCCTATCATAAAAAATATTTCATCTGTTTATTGTAAACTTATCATATAATAAAGTTTGAGAAATTGTTAATATTTATATTAAAGCATATTTATGTAAAATCATAATATCCCATTAAACTTATATCACACCTGAAAAAACATAATATCCCAATAATGTTTATGTGTGATATACATATATCGCGCTTAAAAACTGACTACAAAATTATAAGCGCCATGAAATACATTTTTAAGAAAAGAAATTAACAAATACTTATCATACAGTTTATATTGACAAAAAATAAAACTAATTATCAAGTAAAAAACTTTTCTTGTCTTAAGTTTCGCAAAGTGTTTCAAAAATAAAGAAGCTTTAATTGTTCTTAGAACCTGGTTTTTAATTGCTAATGTGACTATCCACATAGACGGTTCTAAAAATTCGCCAATCGAACGTAGTTTTTGATTTAGAAAAACTTGCTTCTCATTCATATGTCACTCTTGCCGTCAGCTGTATAAAGAGAATGCAGGTTTTTGCATTTTTTTTTATGTTATAGCAAAATTCAAAATTTTACTTTGATTTTCTATCTGTTTAAATTTTTCTGACAGCGAATTAATAGCAGCGTCTACGACTACAAAAATAAAATTTACTTTGAAAGACTCCTTTGCCAACCTCACAAGTTTATCTTTCGTTTACCGACTTTACAGGTTTATAATTAACTTTAAAGGAAAAATGCCTTTTGATCATGCTCGGCCTAATAAATTTGGGTCGATGATCAGTTTTTGTCCAGTTCCATTGCATCTGAAATATCACTTTACAGCCCATTTTCTTACTTCGTGTTCTTCAAAATTTTTTTGGCATTGTCAATTAGTTTCAAAGCATTAACTTCGGTTAACAGTTTTCATCTTATATGTTTTGCTTACTAAATTAAATTTGAACAAGACATCATACCAAGTGACCAAGCAGCGGAGGAATTTGAAATCTGTAGTTTTCTTAGCATTTCCATTAGCGGTACATTTTAATTTAATTTATTTTTTATTTGAATTTTCATGCTATATTTTTCTATACAATGTTCTTATATCCAAAGATATTGTTGGCTTAGCATAGGAACAGCCACAAATAGTCATTAAGACTAATACAAAGCAGCGTCCGTTATTGACCAACATTTTTGCGCACTACTCAAGCGCTGATTTGGCAGTGGCAGGATTTGAAATCGGATCTCACAACTGTCCGGGTTTAAGCTTTGGCTCTAACCAACAAAACTTTCAAGCTAGTAATTCAAATTCTTTTGCTCTTTGTAGAAATATTGCTTTATTGATATCAAGGTTTAGTGAAATGCTTTCACAAAAAACAAAAAATGCTCGTTGGTTAAGGGCAAGGATCCTTTTTTGTACGCCTACATTCATTCCCTCCATGCCTGATCCATTATCAAAACCGTGGCAACGCATATTTTGTATGGGTATTTCTTTTTTTTGAGATCTCGTTTCACAAACTATCAACCCTTGCTCAAATGTATCTAAGACCTGAAATTTCTAAAAAATGTTTTCATACATTTACTTCGTCTCCTGGAACTGCATAGACAAACAGAACATCAAATATTAAAAGTTATATACATTCAATATACAGTCAAGAATTATAAAATGATTCAATGCTTACACAAGATAAACTCAATAGCTTTTGGAGGAACAAAGGCTAATAAACCTTTTTTTAAACTTTTTTGCTTAAAAATGTACATGAGTTTTTTCAGTTATCCGATGAGGATGTGCAAAAGAACAATGTCAATTATTTTAATGTGTTCAACAAGTTTTAAAGACTTTTCGTTGTTTTATTTGAAAACTATCCCACTTGTTCCACGAAAAACTAACCCTTAAGCACACAAAAGTTGTACAATTCAAAGAGAAGAGTTAAAGGTAAAGCTTTTCTTTTAAAAGAAGATTTTGTGCTATATTTGTGTTTAATTTATTTTTTTCAATAAAAGACAAACTCTTAAATAAAAATGATCAATTTGACGTACTCATACTGGTATTTGCTTTTAAATTAATTTGCTCTTGAACAGAAAAATTAAGAGCTTCAGCTGTTTCATCAAGAATGACTTTTAAAGCTTGATACTATGAATTTCCTCCTAAAATCTTTTTCTCCTAGAGTAAAAGTTCTTTTAGTTTCTGTTTGTTGTTATTTATAAAAATGGTTAACAATAAACCAAACACCCAGCATCAAGAGAAAAATATTATATAAAAAGAGCACAATGGTTATTAAAGCAAAAAAAAACGGTAATCTATTAGCTCTCTAAAATATTATTTAGTTTTGTGTTTATTAACTTATTTTTTAGTATTAAATGCACTCTTATACCAAATCTTACAATTGATACTTCAACTGATTATTGTTTGGACCGATTGTTCAATACTTGTTTTTTCTGTCTTTACTCTCTATATCTGATTTGTGTTTTGTATAAAAAAAAACCAAAGATTTCTATTTTTGTCACGATGTCTCATAAACTTATTCTTTCAAATAATTAACTAACTATTAGTTTTTACTGTTATTACTTTTTCATTAAAATGCAGAGCAAAAACATACAAAGTTAATTGTTTAAAAAAAACTATGGCGCCCCTAAACTTAAATTTACAATTACAATATACATTTAGCAAACAAAAAACACGATTTAAATAAACATTTAACTCAAAAGTTTATTTATTCAACATTTAACTTCCTACTACTAGTTAATCTAACTATTTTTTCATTGGAATGCTGAGCAAAAAATGTACAAATTCAATTTTGTAACATAATAAAATTTGGCTCCTCTAATATAAAAATATATAAACAACTAAGTATTTGTACACTTTATGGAAGCCTAAAATTATATTTAAGTTTATTTTTTTTAAATCCAAAAATTGATTAAAAAAAAATAAGAAGGAAAAAAAAAATGTAGACTACGCTAGAGCGGCGCCCCAAAAACCCTCGCGCCCTTTGCGACCGCATAGTTCGCAAAGCCTTTCAAAAAATTAAAAAAGATTTCAGTTTTTGCCTTACATTAAGACCATTTATTAACAAAACTGTAAGTAGCAAGTGCAGTGACAATAAAACCACATTTTGATTTTGTAAAAATATACCATGCCTAACCGCGGAATTCAACGAAGTCAATAAGAAAATATGTACTTTTTGTAAGGCCAAGGCCAAAACAATAAAGACCAAAGCCAAAATTTTTAATGCAAAGATCTACACTAAGGCCTCAATTTTTAGCCTGAAGGCAAAGCCAAAGCCGAGGCCAAGTACTAAAAATTCTGCCTATCACTAATGGTTTTTTTAAATCAATATTACAAATATTTGTCCGAAGGGAACTGCTTGTGTAGCAACCGTTAACGATTGTTTAAAGCAAATATTACAAATAATTGTCAAAAGGGAATTAGTTTGTGCAGCAACCTATACAGAGAATATTTTAAAGTTTTTTTTTTAAGCGTTGTTACAGTGACAAACATCGGTAATGAGTTTAAACACGCGTTATCTCTAGGCGGTGTTAGTGTAAACGTAAGCAAGTTTGCTACCACAGTAAATTTTAGAAACTTTAAGAATATAAGACGTTCAACATGAATGTTTGAAGTCACCAATTATTTATTACATTTTTTAAGTTTAAAGTATTTATATAAAAACTTTAAAAACAACTTAAAAAAATTACAAAACATTTCAACTTAAAAACATTTCAACTTAAAAAAATTTCAAAAACAATTTTAATACAACTTCAGAAATCATTCCAAAAAAAAACTGATCAATCTTACTAGAAAACTTACATCAAAGTGTACTTCAAATTTAAATATGGCAGGATTGGTAGTTACTATAAAAGTTCAATAATAATAGTCAAGTCACTAGAATTAATTGCCTCAATTGCAATAGAAGACAACGCTGTATTGCTGAATGGTTCGATGATGACGAAATCAAAACAAGAAACCCTAATATTGCAAATAATGCAACTATTTCGGACGGTTATGACCGTCCGAAACAGTTGAATTATTGATATAATTGAAATAGGTCCGTAAGACCTATTTCAATCATATCAATTGATTGTTGTTCATACATTTCTAGGATAGGCGAGGAGTGAAGCAAGTTTTTATGACACACTTTAATTAAATTTAATATAGGGGAGAACGGGGCAACATGGCGAAGGGGGCAAGATGACGAATTGCTTTTTCTAGCCGAACCGCTCAATAATGAATAGTTTAAATAGATAGTAATGAAAACTGTCTATATGGGTCTTATTTTAAATAACATTTGGTTTTTGTAGTTATTGTCCCCGTGGATTTATTCACAAAAGTCTATTTTTACGATTTTTAAAATAATTTTTTTTTTCAGTTTGGTCCTTATTATTTTAGGCTACGCTGCCATTTGCATGCTGCGAAACTATTATTTGGTACAAAAAACATTTTTTTAAATTATTATAGTAAATGTTTGTGCAGCTGTTGTAGAGTAATAGAGTTATTGATGGAATTAGAATAATTGTGTCAGCGGGGCAAGTTGATCGGGGCAAGACAACGAGTCTGCCATCTATATATATATATATATATATATATATATATATATATATATATATATATATATATATATATATATATATATATATATATATATATATATATATATATATATATATATATATATATATATATATATATATATATATATATTTATATATATATATATATATATATATATATTTGTATATATATTTTTTGTATACATGTTTGTAGGTCTCTGTGTGTAAAGTTAAATTAATAGATTAGTGTATATATTTTTTTCTGTGTGATATATAATATATATATATATATATATATACATATATATATATATATATATATATATATATATATATATATATATATATATATATATATATATATATATATATATATATATATATATATATATATATATATGTATATATATATATATAACTGCTGTTAGTCAGTGATTTGGCTATATAGTGTAAGGTTAGTCAACTTTATTTCAAGTGTATTCAGTTTTAAACTGCAGTAAATTATTGGCATATGAGCAACCTGGTTTTGTTTTGCAGTTAATTGAGTTACATTTTCCAATGTCTAATTGATTGTGAATTGAA